GAGAAATATCTAAGATTTAACGTCAAATTAAGGCTGGACACAAGATACGAGTAATTACAACTTAAAATGGCTGTCTTTCTGCAATGTTGCGCCGTGTAACCTGTTAAATACTGACCGGTGTTTCGTAAGAAATTACTGACTCTATCATCAGGGCGATAAATAATCGCGATAATATTTTAGTGACGATTTATTCTACTGAAATTTCAAGAACAGTATCCGTGACTTATACTTTTAAATCGTCATCTGGTATTTACAGACGTATTACCAGTCCGGATTCTTATTGTAAAATGCAAAGTATAATCGCTCTTTTCGTTGGAGATAATGCAAATTATCTCTTTAAACGAAGGAAATAAACATTATCATAATGGCCAATTACAGAACACTTTTTTTTGTAAATTTTCAACGCTGCCCTGCGTTAGCTCTTAAATATTCATCAGGCGACCTCTATCCACAGCGCAGCTACGGAACTTAATAGGCCACGTGGCTATAATATAAACCTGTTTTCAACTTACTACTACAGTAAACCTACTATATGGAGTCTGAAATTAAATAACATCACAAGACGAAGGGTTTTTGTCACACAATCTGCAGATCGTTATGTAATGCAGGCTGATAATTTGTTGTATTGTATTAAATTACTGCATTAGTCACTGCATTAGAAAAACTTAGTACAGTTAAACAGTTCCTGAAGTTTATCACACCAAAAGCCTTTCAATAATATATCTACTTACGCGAGATGATCAAGATATTTCTTTACATCATGCAAAGAAATGATATTAAATTATTTTATGATCCTATTGTAATTTTCGATTCTACCTAACAATTTTGTTTATCTGTCATACTGGTATTACAAATTTTATCACGAGTTTAGATAAAAAAAACAATGGTATAACGTCCATACTAAATTTCATCCAAATCCATGCAACGATTAAGTTTAATCATGCTAACAAATAGATATGACGAGTCCTGTACACTTATATATCTTGCAAATAAAGCATAATGTATGAATTTATGCTTCTAACACAAAACATATTTTTCCGGATTACTAACACACTTACAAACCATTTGAACAAACGAAAGAACAGATTAAAGCAGAGAACTGACACTGTCAAAAATCACTGTGATATATCAAAAAAATCGACTAAACGGTGCGCAGTTAAACAGCGGCTTGCTGGTCGCAGACTATCACGGAGGAAATCCATGGCGGACTGAACATAAGAGTCCGTTGATTAGATGCTGCTAGCTACAGCTGCTGTATGAAGCATCGAATGTAGCAAGAAGTCAAGGTCCCCCGCTGGAAACCCAGTTCACAGCAAATGCATCGTAAAGAACTTACAGTTTGTGTGGTAAAAAGCATGAATTGCTTTCAGTGCCCTCTTACAGATGAGACGTGCTCACAATGTGTTCGAGTATAGACTCCATGGGAAAACGCAGAGACTGGTTTTAACACTGTTGATGGTGTTGGAAGTAGCACGTAGGAAGATGAACACTGTATTTCCTTTGTGCTAGACGCATCCTGTGTGTTGCGGGGCACAAGAATTTCCATTTGAAGTTATGGCGTTGGTCTATTTAGTCGTAGAGTGATTCGAGCTACATAAATCTAGCTTTCATATGCATATAAATATTTTATTTATAAAACAATTGAGACAATAGTTCTTTTTTTTCAGATTGTGATATTCTGAGTTGTGTCTAGGTGGTTATTAACGTTTCAGAACCCCCATCGTCAGGGTAGAAATGGATGTAGCACATTCACCGTAATTTTGCTAACGACCGACAAGAAACCAGGATGCCACATTCAGAACGCTCTCTACCGTGAAAACTTCAAACTTCGTAATTCAAACATTTTTATGTAAATTATTCAACGAGTCAGGTTACATGTCCCACTTTTTATGTTTACATTTAATCTCAGTCGAATGACAAATTAATAACCAACTGCTCAAAAATATGTATCCTATTGTCTTATTATACAAATTAATTTATATTTCTGAGATCTGGATTTTGAAGTTAAGGGGAAGAACACAGGGGGTTTGGAAACAGGTGACTGAGAAGAATATTTGGACCCGGAGGAGATGAAATGACAGAAAAATTCAAACATTTCTATTCCTCACCAAATATTATTAGGATTATCAGATCAAAGATGATAAGCCAGGAGAGAACAGAAAAGCAAACAGCAACTTCGGTTTGAAAATCTGAAGCCTACATGGGAGGATAATATTAAAATGGATCAAGGAAATTGTGAGTATCAGCTTCTCTGAGAGGGCTCTGTTACATGGTGTTAGAATCCTGGCTGAGGTTTATCGTAGTTTTTCTCAGTCCCTCCGAAGATTACACATGGCGGAATAGTGCCTCATAATTCACTACAACTCAATATTCAGCTTTACCATTCGACCAAAGTCTCTAATTCGACGTAAAAGAAGCTCGGTAATTTTTTTCAACTGAGCAAAATAACTAAATAAATAACGCGCTGTGTTTTCGTGTTGTGAACTGGCTTTACTGCTCCCAGCTGGAGCAGTCTCTATGTTCGTCCTTTTTTCTATTTGTAACGCAATGTAAAATGACTGCAGGAGACGAAACCAGCAGTTGGCCGACACACTGCTAACAAAATGACGGGAAGCTTCGCGAAAATAAGGCTTAATTGCAATATTGAAGCAGAGAAATGTAACGAATATAATGACAAAGAAACAAATATTTTATAATACTGTCTACTACTCTCCGTTCCATAACCTGATAATCGCAAACACCACACCGAAATTCAAAATCGCAATGTAACGGACACAAATTAATTGTCTCATGTATTCTGTAAGAAATAATTCCAATAAAAAAATCATTTAAAACACATAACTTAGAAATCTGATATTGAAGACTATACGAAAACATATTTAAAAAAAATACATATGTCCATAATTCCACATCTAAAACAACAGATTGAGTGTTATTTGATTTGATCTGAAAGTATACACGTCACAGAAATATGTTATTAATCTAATTATTTATTTATTTATTACCGAGTACATTGGACAAGAGCCACGGTGGTCTAGCGGTTAGAACGCTGGCCTTGTAATCCTGGGGGTCTCGGTTTCGATTCCCGGCGATGCCCGAATTTATAACTTGTGTTGGGCATGGCCGTGGTCTAGGCAACACGGACGTTTGACAATGTGTAAGCCTCCAATACTCGTATTTGATAGGTACGCGGTTCAAGTCTTGGCCACATTACACACTATTGTACACTGACAATTCTCGGTCTCTCTGTCCATGAAAATTCCACTGATTTTAAACAGAGACACTAAATGTTCTGTGTAGACATGCCTAGATACACGAAAATTATTATAACAGGCTGAAATAATTCGGGCAGGATATATTCAACTTCGTTTTTCTCAAGATGTTAAGGGATCACAGATTTTAATTTTGCATTTGTTTTACGATTATGATGCTTTCTCAAAATTTAGTATGAGAAACTTTCAACTAATCCAATGCTGCAATACATTAGGCTGTCCTTACATAGTAGAAAGCCCGACTGCGTATTTTGTCTACACTTGTTCTAAATGCACTGGGGATTTTAAATGTAACCTTTGACATGCACTTAATAGCTCTAGTTCTTTATGGGAGAGGCATTTGTAATAACCACGAACAAAAAAACTATTACAGCTCTTGCGTAAAAATTACATTACTCTACATTCCAGCTGATGTACTAACAGGCGAGCAGGAACCTATTTTAGACGCTGATGACGTAATAAGAATTAGATGTTATTCCATTTCATAATAGGCGTATGTCTTCGTTATTTGAAGCATAACATAGCCTATTTATAATGGGTGAAATAGATACTACATCATCTGTTTAAAAATTACTTTATAAAGACGACTGTAAACCTAACCTAACTTTGGAATTAATGATGCCGCATGTACTAATAAGTTCTACATTGTGCTGAGTAATTTAAGAGACGCTGACGGTCAGCTAGTCAATAAATTCCTCGTATCCGAGGCATTCTGTAACATTTCTTGACATCCTAATTTTTTAAGGTGAGAAATTCTGTGTCTCCTGCCCAACCACCAAGATGGAGGACCACGAGTAGTCGAAATGGAAAAGCGTACAGAATTTTAAATGGAAAATATGAAGGCAAGAGATAATTTAAGAGACCGAGTCACAGACAGTTAGAATTAAAGACGTAGCTTGTAGATTAGTATGTGGTCTGGCAGAGTGTGGATACTGTAATATAAATATCAATATCTTCTTTGTATTTACTGCACTGCAAATTTTATATGATGTTTGCCACCATTTTACACGTGTGTTGATTAGAGAACAATGAACAACAACCAATTTAAACCCTCTGAACAATTACTGGTTAATACGCTGTCATTTGTTTTGTATGCTAACTGAAATGTGTACATTGTGACCTCAAAAGAAAGTCGTTCAGAAAGGATATTGTAATCGATTTTCTAATCTGCAGTAATAAAAAATGCCACTGCCAGACTTGGCCAACTTGTACATCTGAATAAGTCATGTGGATAAAGGGATTTGCCTCTTGTCAGACAAGACTGATTACCCTCAAGACAAATATTGAATGTAGGCTGACTCTCTATTACCAAGAGCTCGTTTCGAAATTTTAATTTCCAGTATGAAGCCATGAGGCGTACAGTCAGTATTAAAATGGTATGAAATGGAAAGAGGACACATTTTTGAGACATTACAACAAATGCTCACCAGATGTGGTAAGAGTACGGTGGTTTGATGCGATTCGGATGATATGTTATTTTACAAGTAGAATTGGGATTTTGTGTTACTATTTAGATATTATGTTTATTTATAAATGATTAGGAATGAGGCGGTCGTAAATTATTTATTTTAAATTTGGTAATTTTAATTTTGTAAGAAGTTTTAGCGTGATTTCTCATTCCGTAACTAGAGCAGCATGGCCTCATTCTCTTCAGTTAGTACTATAAATCACCACATAGAGCGCCACGTAACGAATGCCATGCTTGAAGTCCTGTAAATAAAGAATTTCGGGTTTTTCTGTGCGTCACTTTTCACACACTCTGTTTACTGTCTGTTCACTTGAACAGCATGTTTCAAACAAATGTGTTCATCATCAGATTGAATTCCCTGCTTCTTTGTCGTTGCAGTAAGGATTTCCTCCCTGATTTTCAAAAATAATTATAACTATATATTATAAAGTTTATAAATTGATTGAAAGTGTGTTACAATGTTTTCTCTGAGTGTTGTGGGACGACGTTGTGGAATGGCCACATTAATTCGAAACCTGTTGTTCAAATAAAGTGTGTGAAACTTAACTTGCAGAAAAAAACAGGAATTCGATATAACACACCGGGATGCTACATTACGACATGTAAATAGTGATTTTCGTTGGTAGATGGCGAAGATATCTAGAACAGGAGAGAGAGAGTGAGAGAGAGAGAGGGAGGGAGCTACAAATATTTGCTTTATTTGAGCTAATGCACTGAAAAAGTAAAATGTGGTAAGGAAAGAATATAATAGTAAAATATACGAAACACATTTCATAACAGTAATTTATTACAGCCTTCATATAACATGTGTTCCTGCTACATATTTATTCTGGAATTCATATAATTGTCTTATTACTTTTATATACACTACATCATGATTAAATACTAATTTCCATTCTGAATGTTGGTTGCATATGTTTCAATTTACACAAGTAATTTTCAAGATTATAACATATACTGTTCAATATTTCTTGTAAAGTTATTCTACCATTGAGCATATGCTTTACCTCAAAATAATTCTTGACGTGTTTAACCTAACACTGATCCAAGGACGGACACCAACATGCAAAAATTAAAGAAGCTCGTGGACTATGGACTTGATGCAGAATTGTTCATGCATGGTGGATGGATTACACAAATATGAAGTAATTCTCAAATAATTTTAAGGACAATTGTATTACTTTTGACTATACTCATCTGTCCACACACTGACACCATACATACATAGTGTATATCCACCATAAAGTAACAAATTGCTTTTAATAAAACAAATATTGCCTAAAACAACTGAGTACAGGATAATATATGTACCTCACATGTATTTATCTACATAGCCTACATGTATTAATAAATATACTTAGGAGTAAATAATTTTATTCTAATCTAATAAACCACATTCTTGCACAGAGTGAAACAGGGAAGTGGTGTACAGGAACTTTGAATCAGTAGAAAACAATTTTTGATCCATGAAACTTGGGATTCTACCACCTTCATATATTCAGTAAATGTTTACATCATTTACTCATTAGTAAAGCAAATTACATGAGCTTCTGAAGGACATATTTTTCTTTTGTACAGAAATTGAAATGAATGAGAGTTAACTGTCTTCATTTGCTCAAATTCCATACACATATAACAATAGTCTGTAAAAAGTTAACTTTACCATTTTTAGAATGTTCATTTGAGAATCAAGAATTGGAACAACAAAAATGTTAAATGATTTCATACAGATCTCCATGTCATATGCTGTTCCAGTTGATGTTCCTCGACCCTGTGATTGAATATTCTTAAAATATTATACAAATAAATTTTATGTTGATTTTAAAATTATGTATGTTTAAGAATATATTTTAAATATATGCGATGTCAAATAGAGTTGTGAAATAAGCTTCGATATACTAATAAAAATAAATTATTTTATTTCTGTTTAAGCCAGAGTCCTAAATGTGAATATACTTAGATTCACAGGAGAATTAAATTAAACCCACATGAATTTATTTCATCATTGAAATCCCTTACTTCTGAGACTGCCATAGCAGTAATAATAATTAAATACATTTTACAATGCTACCAACCATTGAACACACTGTCCATGAAATTTTGTCTGTAGTATTTCAGAAAGCTTTTAATTTGTAATTTGAGAGTTATTTGCATTTATCAAGAGAACTTTCTCTCAGCAGGGTATTATATTATTCACACACTTCTGCTAGATGATCATTTCCACCCAGAGACTCATAATGAATCATTATTAAGAACAAACTCTAAAAATCTCATTATTGTTAACAGTGTTTGAAAGTACGAATGTAAACTCCATTATGATTTTTAAATGTATTTCATAACTAGGTACAAAAATACTTAAAAAATCCTTAATTAAGTCATTTGTCTGTCCAGAAGTGTGTCAGTTTGGGATTGGTGATTTTAACAACAGGAAATGGAAACCAGAATACAGTTTCACTTAAACTTTTCTGTTCTCTTATAATACCATGTGATTAATTAGAAGTTATGTAAACTATAATAAATTACTACTATTATTTAGTTTCAAGCCATCTGAAAGAGTGGATGATGTAAAGAACCATTAATAATACTGGCTGTATAAAAATTATTGTACTGGACCTCATATTACAACATGTTTAACAAGTTCAGTTTTTCCAGATTACATAAAATATTCGAGGTTTAAAATTTTATTAAAAAATGTATGCACCGTGCTAATATTAGAACACACACAATACAATTTAAATGCTTCACATTAAGGTAAGGAAGACAAAAAATTGTATGCTTCCGGAAAGAAGGGCAAATGAAATAAAATCACAAAATAAACAATTTATAATAAATTAAGTATTGTTACGAAAACAAATTACTTTTGAGCCCAGCTGTGAGCTAAGTGCTGAATCAGATGTGAAGCGCTGTGGACAAATATCCACTTTATCGTAAACTTTAGGTGCTGTGTGTTCTGGTGGAATGAAAATTGGCATGGGAAACATGAATACTCGGAGGGAATATTTCCCAGTGTCATTTTGTTTATCATAGATGTCACTGAGCACCGGTAGTTGGTTTAGAAATACAGATGAACTGAAGAACCACATCTTAATGAGTACATAAATATAATTTTGAGTCAGAGAATAGATTATCTGGAGAAAAGCTCAATTAAATACTGATGAAATACTAATATCTCTTTTTTTTTAATATGAAGTACATTTCAAACAGTGATTTGATCAATTATATTTATGTAATAATAATTACATTAATAAAACTGTAATTTATAGGTTTGAATGTTCCCATACAGTGTGCAGAATAACAAAGCAGATATCTGTGACTCGTAATTACTCTCTGACAAAATATCACCTCTTACTAGAAACTTTAATCCAGTTTTTAAAAAAATATCACCTGTGGAATTCATTAAGGGCAGCTTGGTCATTGTAATATTGTCAAATGGTAATGGAGGAACTGCATTTCTCGTCATTCTAAAATTAAAAAGTTAACTAATTGTATTGTCTCACCAAGTGGAACATTTTCTACTTGGATTCATTGGTAAGCCTACAGGGCAGTTGTACGCTTCAGCAAATGAAGGTGAATTCATCATAATACCATTCACTCTGGAACAAGAAATAACATGTTAGCAACTGTCAACATTGTCTGTAGCCCTTATCACTACGCATGGTCTCTCTACAGACGATTATTTTTTGTTCCAACATTTCGTCTGACCCTTTAGAACACTGACTGTACCTTTTAAATGGAAAAAATATATTTTAATTTTTTTTTGTTATTTTAATGTTATAATGGATTCAAAAACGGACCCTTACAGAACAAACAGTTCTCTGTAACTTAAATATTGTATGCGGTCCAGTTATTGGAGCTGCAGGGCTGTCCAAACATAATACTGGTTTTATATACACTTAGACATTTTGTATTGTCGAAAAATTACATTTCTGTTTTTTATGTTGCAGGTGTGTGCCCTACAAGTTAAAAAAAATATGAAACTGTCATCAGAGCAAGGAATTTTCCTTTTGAGATATACTGGATGCCAAACTAAGTTTTACTTTAATATGCAGAAAAGTTAGTTTTCTTTATTATAGATTGTATATAAAGTTTTTATGATATTTGATGGGTATTCCACAAGATAAAGCAAAATGTGATTCACAACTTACATATATACTGAACCTGTTACGATTATGTCAATGAAGGGATAAGAGTCACTGATTTTTTTAAATCGCTAATCTAAGGACGATACGTATTCAAGTGTTTTGTTATAAAAAAATACTGTTCAATCTTATCCTTCCCATACAGCTCAAGTTCAATGCATTGCATATGTCAAAAGAGAAGGTAAGCATTACTGATAAAGGAAACACCTTTTTATGCTGCTACAAACACACGTTTGCCCATTATTTTTGTTTATTATTTATTATTAACTGCAAATGGGTTTTTACCCGGTGGCAGTGGTGCTACAATAAGACACAAAAAACATAAGACACCACAAAACAATAAGACAAAAAACATAAGACACAACAAAACAATGAGACAGAACAAAACAATAAGACAAAAAACATAAGACACAACAAAACAATGAGACAGAACAAACACAACAAAACAAT